TGTGTGTGTGTGTCTGTGTGTGTGTGTGTGTGTCTGTGTCTCTGTCTCTGTCTCTGTCTGTGTGTCTGTGTGTCTGTGTCTGTGTCTGTGTCTGTGTCTCTGTGTCTGTGTCTCTGTCTCTGTCTCTGTCTGTGTGTCTGTGTGTCTGTGTCTGTGTCTGTGTGTGCGTGTGTGTGTGTCTGCAGGTGCACGGCTTGGAGAAACAGGTGGGCAGATCTCTGGATTACCTGGAGCAGGGACCATCCGGCACAGTCTTCAAGAGCCTCCCATACGGCGTTCCCGCTCCGTCAGGCGGCGTCAAACCTCCACAGCAGACCTCCAGGATATACTCCACGCCGGACCACACGCCCTCGAAGCCCAAACCACCCACCTTCAGCTTCCAGAACCCCTACGAATGGATGCGAAACCAGTCGCAGCTCCTGGACCAAACGGGCTACCGTCCCAAACGCAAGCCCTCCCTCAAAACCTCCATGAAGACTAAAAAGATCTTCGGCTGGGGCGACTTCTACTTCAACGTCAAGACGCTCAAGTTCACCCTTCTGGTGACGGGGAAGATCGTGGACCACATCAACGGGACGTTTACAGTCTACTTCCGGCACAACTCCTCCAGTCTCGGGAACATTTCGGTGAGCATCGTTCCTCCGTCCAAAATCGTTGAGTTCGAGGTTCTCCAGAACCCTCTTCACTCTGAGATCCAGTTCCACCAGCCGCACCAATCCACCATCGACCCCAAAGACGTCAAAACCTTCAACTGTCGCGTCGAGTATGAGAAGACGGATCGCTCCAAGAAGCCCAAACCCTGCCTTTACGATCCATCCCAGACCTGCTTCACTGAAAACACCCAGTCGCACTCATCCTGGCTCTGCGCCAAACCCTTCAAAGTCATCTGCATCTTCATCTCCTTCTTCAGCATCGACTACAAGCTAGTGCAGAAGGTCTGTCCGGACTACAACTTTCAGAGCGAGCATCCGTATTTCGGATGAGGCATTTATCATCCGTGTTTTATTTGTATATGTGACCCTCACTCTTAAAAATAAAGGTGCTTCACGGTGATGCTTTAGAAGAAGCTTTAACATCAAAACATTCTTTGTGAAGGTTCTTCAGATTATAAAAAGCTAAGAAAGAGATGGTTCTTTGACTGAATGGTTCTTTGTGGAAGCAAAAATGGGTTTTCTGTGGCATCGCTGTGAAGAAGCTTTTAAGAGTGCTGCAGCACAAAAGCAGTGTTAAGTCGCTGGGGTATATTTGTAGCAATAGCCAACAATACATTGTATGGGTCAAAATTATACTTTTTTTTAATGCCAAAAATCATTAGGATATTAAGTAAAGATCATGTTCCATGAAGATATTTTGTAAATGTCCTACCGTAAATATATCAAAACTTAATTTATGATTAGTAATATGCATTGCTAAGAACTTAATTTGGACAACTTTAAAGGTGATTTTCTCAATATTTCGATTTTTTTTTGCACCCTCAGATTCCAGATATTCAAATAGTTGTATCTCAGCCAAATATTGTCCGATCCTAACAAACCATACATCAATGGAAAGATTATTTATTCAGCTTTCAGCTGATGTATACATCTCAATTTCACAAAATTGACCCTTTTGACTGGTTTTGTGCTCCAGAGTCACATATAGAAAGAATCACACCGAATCCCTTCAGCTCTTAATATTGGTTTCTTTATGCTTTCATCCGTCGACTGTTAGACCAACAGGGAACGCGTGGTTTTTCTACTGATCCTGCTTACGTCTTTCAGAATGGAGACGAAAACCAGCTCAGATCTGGTCTCTAATGGTCTGATCAGGGTTTCACAAACCCGAAAACCGGTAGTTCAAGCCAACATACATCGGTCTTCACTAGCTTTGGATGATGATGAAAATATAGAGTCTCTATAACAGGTGGATGAAAAATATGGATTTTTGATGTCAGTCACGAAGGAAGGTGATGAAGACAAACTTTTATTTTCTTTAGAACGACGTGCAACGATGAATCGTTCAGGAACATGAATTAGTTTCGACTTCAAGATGCACACAAGATATGATTATGATTAAGACAACCTGGGTAAATTTGAGAAATGAAGCAAAACCTTTAAGATTTTTTTTAGTGCTGTCAAACGATTAATCGCGATTAATCGCATCCAAAATAAACGTTTTTGTTTACATAATATATGTGTGTGTACTGTGTATATTTATTACAAACACATGCATGTATATATTTAGGAAAAATATGTTGTTTATATATTAAATATATTTATATATAATATAAAATATAAGAATGTGAATATATAAATGTGTAAATATTTTTAAAAATATATACTGTATGTGTGTGTGTTTGTATATACATAATAAATACACACAGTACACATATATAATGTAAACAAAAACGTTTATTTTGGATGCAATTAATCGCGATTAATCGTTTGAAAGCACTAGATTTTTCCCTTAAACTCGTAAAAATAAAGGTTCCAAAAGGTTCTTTTGCAGCAATGCCTTAGAAAAACATTTTTGTTTCCTCAAAGAAGATTTCAGTGAACGTTTCCTAAAAGAAACATTTTTTTTTTTGACCGTGAAGAACGTTTTAATGATCTAAAGATGTTTTTCCACTATAAAGAACATGGATGTTAAAGGTTCTTCACGGAATCATCGATTCCAATTAAGAACCTTAATTTTTATAACAGTAAAAAAAAAAAACATTTTTGGTTCCTCAAAGAACCTTCCAGTGATCAGATCTTAAAAAGAACCGATTTTTCTTAGATTGAAGAACATTTAAAAAACGGAAAGTTTCCATGGATTTAAAGGTTCTTCGTGAAACCCTCAATGCAATCAACCTTTATTTTTATGAGTAAAGAACCACTTTTGGTTCTTTTAGGAGATCAGTATATTAACATTTTAATGATCTAACTATAAAGAACTATATAAGTTTCCCTGGATGTTCTCGGAACCATTGATTCGAATAAAGAACCTTTATTTTGAAAAGATTCGAATCATTTGAAGATTCATCAGCAGAAGCTCCAAAGCTTTCAGGATAAACAGAGGTTTAATGTTCAGAACACTTGAGCACAAACCGCAGAATAATGAACAGATCCAAAGGAATGTATTTAACAGAATCTTATCCACCCTACCTTTATATATTATGAAATTAAAGACATAGCTTATCTATTCACTAGCTCTGAATAAAGCTTGAAGAGACTCGAGAATGATTCTCTTGTTTTTAAAGTCAAGCACCGAACGAACAGTTCTGTGAATAAAGTATTGCTTGATGATGTGTATAGCATACATGCGGAACATTGTGTGTAAATAATGTATCACAAATAAATAATTAAATCTAACCGGCCTGACCTGCTGTTATTATCAAATGATTGATGATGCTTGACTGTATTTATTTTATTTAAGATTATTTTACCATGGTGAATTATTGTGCATATAGTGTAAAAAGTGCATTTTCTCTACACAATCAGTTTGTTTTTAGGGTCAGATGCTGAAAGAGAAAACATGCCTCGTTTAATATTAATTGCTGGCTGTTAGTTATTTGATTGATGGTAAGTATGTGTTTGTGTTCATGGAGTGGGATTTTTGGGGTATTTTTCCTGTTAAATTATTTTGACATAAAAACAAAATTCCAGTAAAAACAAAAGTGACAATATATTTATATACAGTATATCATTAATGTTACACTTGTGATAGCTGATATCAGAATATGAACACATATGTAAATAAATGCAGTTACACTGGAAGAAAGGTGTACAATTTAAACTTCTAGTGATTTCACCGATAATTACATTGAAATGCCAAGTAACTCTAAATCAAATGTGAACTATTGTGAGTATTTTTTGTGAAACATACTCCAATAATCTGTTTTATTTACAATTTAGAAATAAAAAACTATAGTGTATTTAATTAATGCCACTATAAATGATGATGCAATTAATTAATTGCAAGCATTCGTTTCCGCAATTTACTGTAAATTTCTGTCTGAGAGTTCAGCAAATAATCAGCAAATATTAAATAATTACTGGTCTATGCATGCAACCTTTATGAAACCACGTTAATTGAGAGATTGCATGGAAAACTAAAATTAAAACATTATAAAAAATAAAATAACTAAAAACTGAAATGAAATAATATATATAAAAACTTAAACTTAATTTTTGTTTTCAAGCTCCCAAGGCAAAATTTCTCATTTTTTATTTAGTTTGATGTAGAAAATATAAAAATAGTTAGCCTAAAAAAATACAAGGCACATAAACGGGACAAAAGCACAACATTACTAAAACTAAGATTTAAAAATATAAACAAATTTAAAATATTTATTTAAAAAAAACTATAATAGTATCTTAGTGATACTGAAATAAATTGTATTAAACACCAGAAAAAAGGAAATAAATAATAAAATCTAATGCAATTGACTCATAAAATGCATAAAATGACAGATAAATTGAGATGTAAGGAACACTTCATTTCCCAGGTTTTATGCAAGTCCTGACGTCAGTTTGTAGTCCAGCGTCCCGACTGCGCAGCTGACGCGTCTATGACAGGACTACATTTCCCATGAGCACTCGCGCTTATCGTCAATCCGCTGCTGTCATTTAGGCGACGGACGAAAAACGTGCGAACGCAAAAACCTGCTGGAACCGGAGAAGTTGGGTGGCTTTACCATGTTAACACTGACGTTGAGACAACTATTTAGGGTGAGTTTATACGTGCATGACCGCATTATAGCGCACAGCAACGCGAAAGCGTTAAGAGAGCTCTTGATCACATCAAAACAGCGATAATATTAAAAATATATACTGTATGTGTGTGTGTTTGTATATACATAATAAATACACACAGTACACATATATAATGTAAACAAAAACGTTTATTTTGGATGCAATTAATCGCGATTAATCGTTTGAAAGCACTAGATTTTTCCCTTAAACTCGTAAAAATAAAGGTTCCAAAAGGTTCTTTTGCAGCAATGCCTTAGAAAAACATTTTTGTTTCCTCAAAGAAGATTTCAGTGAACGTTTCCTAAAAGAAACATTTTTTTTTTTGACCGTGAAGAACGTTTTAATGATATAAGACGTTTTTCTACTATGAAGAACATGGATGTTAAAGGTTCTTCACGGAATCATCGATTCCAATTAAGAACCTTAATTTTTTTTACAGTAAAAAACAAAACATTTTTGGTTCCTCAAAGAACCTTCCAGTGATCAGATCTTAAAAAGAACCGATTTTTCTTAGATTGAAGAACATTTAAAAAACGGAAAGTTTCCATGGATTTAAAGGTTCTTCGTGAAACCCTCAATGCAATCAACCTTTATTTTTATGAGTAAAGAACCACTTTTGGTTCTTTTAGGAGATCAGTATATTAACATTTTAATGATCTAACTATAAAGAACTATATAAGTTTCCCTGGATGTTCTCGGAACCATTGATTCGAATAAAGAACCTTTATTTTGAAAAGATTCGAATCATGTGAAGATTCATCAGCAGAAGCTCCAAAGCTTTCAGGATAAACAGAGGTTTAATGTTCAGAACACTTGAGCACAAACCGCAGAATAATGAACAGATCCAAAGGAATGTATTTAACAGAATCTTATCCACCCTACCTTTATATATTATGAAATTAAAGACATAGCTTATCTATTCACTAGCTCTGAATAAAGCTTGAAGAGACTCGAGAATGATTCTCTTGTTTTTAAAGTCAAGCACCGAACGAACAGTTCTGTGAATAAAGTATTGCTTGATGATGTGTATAGCATACATGCGGAACATTGTGTGTAAATAATGTATCACAAATAAATAATTAAATCTAACCGGCCGAAGATTCATCAGCAGAAGCTCCAAAGCTTTCAGGATAAACAGAGGTTTAATGTTCAGAACACTTGAGCACAAACCGCAGAATAATGAACAGATCCAAAGGAATGTATTTAACAGAATCTTATCCACCCTACCTTTATATATTATGAAATTAAAGACATAGCTTATCTATTCACTAGCTCTGAATAAAGCTTGAAGAGACT